CCAGCAGGGTGCAGAGAAGGGATTGAGTAGCTCCAGAAGTACACAACCGGCTGAACCTTATCTCAACTCGGTCACAAACCAACACAATTCACTTAATGGCTCGTGTGCACTTTCATCTTTTAAGGAACTTCGAGTGACTTCCCCGAGGAAGCTGCTGACCTTAAAAACTGTTCAGATATTTCTGTGTTGTTGTGTGGAAACGGTAACGCTGCCCGTTTAGCGGCTATATCACACATCTCTCTGATTTAATATTTCATAAGCTCATTAGGACTACCACACTGCCGTTTGCTTTAGAGATAACCTTAATGTCCAGAGAGTACTTGGTAGTCTGGATCGGTCTGGAGAGAATACGCCGGAGAATGCTGAAAAATGCAGAGAGTGAATTAAAGCAGCCTTTCTGCTGTGTGTTGGATCCTTAAAGTATCAACACTACAGTGCAAATTTGCAAAAATGTCCTCATTTCAAAATTTTATTCAAGCAACTTTGAAATGTCCAGTGTCCGTTTCTGCTCGTTACATGCAAACAGTGCAACAAAACTTGATGAGTTTTTGGAAAACCTGGTGTTTTGGATTAAAATAACTGCGGAAGTGGCATTACTCAAGTAAGTTACGCGACAAATAAATCAATGTTACATTTCTGTTAAAATAAGCTGCTATGAGGACTACGGTGTCAATGCCGTAGTCCTCAGTTAATTCAACAAAATGCTGAAGAGGACATAGGCCGACCAAAATGTTACGATTTACTTTCATGAACTGAAAACACACTGTGAAAGGGTTAAAAGTTGTAAGACAAAAACACAGACAACTCCCAGACCGGACAACGCCAGGGTAGAGACCTGTCAATCACAAGGTAGCCCCGCCCTAAAGCATCCCCTGCTTTATGGTCTGTTTGACTCTAAATGGACCATAATTTACTAAATGAACATCATGCTGTATTGAAGATGTGAAGATGTTTTGAAACTAGAGATTGAGACCATAAACTCATGTTTACAATGTTTACTGAGGTAATAAATCAAGAGAGAAGTAGAGTCATTATCTCATAGACTTCTATACAACCAGAGGAGTCGCCCCCTGCTGGACATTAGAGAGAGTTTAAGGCCCTTCCACCTTGGCTTCACTTTTCAGAACTGGAGGTTGCCTCTTTGGTAAGAAGAGTATAATTACCTCAAAGTTGTACAGTACTTGGGTAAATCTACTTAGTTACTTGTACTAACAGCAGCTTATTAAAGCCAGATTTCCCGATCGTCAGTCGGGGGCATTTAACAAAACACTGCACAGTGTACACACAGCTGGCAGGGCAGAATGTGAGGGCGACAGTGTATGAAAGACCTGGCTCACGCTGATGTTTGTGCTGGCTTTGCTCCTCAGGTTTGACTCATGCATACGAAAACACACACACACACACATACACACACACACACACACACACACACACACACATACATACATACATACATACATACACACACACACACACACACACACACACACACACACACACACACACACACACAGACGATTGTAAAAGAAGCTGTTAGTGAGCCGAGGCGGCGCCATCTGCAGCTGTCATTAGGACGGACGTGAATGCAGATTCATGGGTGAAGCTATTCAGCAACCTGGATGCAATAAAGATGAGGAAGATAAACAGGGTTAAGATGCACATCAATCTTTTTTTTCTTCTTAATTTGCATGAACCGCTTGGTGTGCGTGTGTGGAGACAGAGAAAAAGTACCTTAGCCTGCAGCGTCTTATGTTTATGTGCGAGATAAAGACTGGAAGGAGAAGAGAGGCAGAGCAGCTTCGGGGTTAAGTAAGAGACTGTCAGGCGGAAGATGATGCTAAACCCCTTGTTGCTTTTTCATAATCTGTTTGAACTTTGGCAGCGTCATTAGGAGATAATGCAGGATAATACCAGAGATCCCCATTGATTGGCCATGCCTGCCAGATGAGCCATGATATCGACCCGAGAACAAGGTTATGATAAGCAGTCTTTTCATGCTTCTAATTTATCTGCTTATCTCAAAATAACAAGAATCAGGACAAATCTGGAGTATAAATAGTACGTTTTAATCCATTTCATTGGTTATCATGAGAAAGTTTTGCAAGAAAGATGCATTGGTATGCTTATATAAGCTTCATAGAAACTCCACTCAGGGGGCACGTGTGCATGCTGGTCCTCGGTGCCAAACATTTCAGGGCTCTGGACATAATAGGCGTTTTCGGACGAGAGGAACCTGTTCTTAGTTCTACAAACCCTCCTTTGTATTGTGTCCGCATCTCAAGAACTAGCAACGGTTATAGTTCTCAGAACGCCGATTTGACAGACTTTTTTTTTAGCTCTTTTTGGACAGCGAGTGACTTAGGTGTCTGGTGATTGGTCGAGCCAATTTTTCAAAACTCTTTAGCAATGTAAACAACAGACAACACAAAACAAAAACTACAGTTTCTAACGAAAAAAGGAAGAAAACACGGATAAATGGACCAACACTAAAGTCTAGAAGTGAACTCGTTTAAGAGCACGCAGCATGCAGAAATCATGCCCACTGAGCCAAAGAATTCTTCAAAGATTCTTATATTACTAAAAAAAGCTTGTAGCAAACTCACTGGAGGGCTTCCTGTTAGTGGTGTGAATGCAAACAGACAAAAAGCCCTTCAGTATGTAGAGGGCAGTTCCTCTCAGGGAGTCCCCAGAACTGTTTGATCCAAAAACGCCTAATGTCACTGATTATTTGGAGGGTTGCTGCAAGTGGCTTCAACAAATCTGTAACTTCTGCACAGCAACAGAGGAGAGCTGAAGGTCATTTTCAGCTGTGAATTTTAAAAGAAACTAATGAGCGCTGTCCTCGGAACTCACCGAGCTGATCGAAAAAACATCACTCAGCCAGCCAGAAAAGAGGATGTAAAAGAGATGCTATATTCAGTGTGATTGATCGTCTACGGAATGCAGAAACCCGGCAGTGTGGCTTCTTCCGGTGTTTCAGAATAATAACGATATGAGTGAGTCACATATCAAAGGAGATGAGAGGAACGAGAGAGCGAGAGAGAGAGAGAGAGAGGGGCAGGGAGAAAGAGAGAGAAAGGAGGTTGTGTTTTTTACAGGAGACAGTGCTGTGAGGCAATGAAACCATCCATTGATAAGAGAGGACTCTCATATTCAGCTCATCAGAGGAAGTTCAGGTGAAGTGAAGGTCTCTGAGCTGAAGCAGTACAACAGTGGGCGTATTCACCAACAGTTTGCTGCCAAAACAGAATCTCTCTCTTTCTTTCTCCCTCCCGTTTCGCCCTCTTCCCTCTGCCCTTTGATCCATCGCACTCACTCTGTCTCCTCCTTCCTCTCCCTCTATGCCTCCTACACTCTCTCACTGAGGGATTTGCCCTCAGCGACCTACTCTGTTGCTTAAACTCTGTGCAGCAGATTCTTAAATATATTTAAAAAAAAAGTAAAAGAAGATATGAGCAAAATCTTATTCATGTTATTGATATCTCGGCTGTGGAGAAATGTTTTAGCTAATCCAAAGAGATTTGCAAATGCAACTCCTCAACACGTGAAGGTCAGAGAGGCGCAGATTGTTCTCCGGCTACAGAATCAGCAGCTTAGAGCAAAACTGAATATCTCATGAGCGGAGGCGCACGATGAGAGGAAGAGAGGACACTCTTCAACGGCAAGGAGAACACTTTTTCTACATATTTCAAATAGTTGGCCATCTAGTCACCCCAGGTTTGAAAGTCGGATCAGTGTGCGGAATAGGTTTGAAAACTTTTCAAGGCTCGTCTTTCAAGAATGAAAGCAGAACATGTTGTACTTCCATAAAGACTCAGTCTCTATACAAGTAGCTGTAGCTTTGAAGAGGATTGTTCAAGGGTACAAGTCCAGAGTTCACTGAGAAAATCTCATATCTATGCAAAAAAAGAGAGAAAAGTGTTCAGAGTTCTCGGAGGTTTAACTATATTTAATGAAGGTGCTGTTTGGTTCAGTCAACAATCTATCCCTCTGATCTCACAAATGCAATAACAGTCAAATTAATCGCAAGTCAATATTTATGTCAAAATTGTTCGGTCGTAACTAAGTTTGTTTTTTACAACTTTCATTGTGGCTTATTTGAATATTTGAAGTCATAAAGACACTTTGAAGATTTGATGCGGAGCTTACAGGGGATTTAACGCTCCCTAAAAATCTTGACGTGTGCTTTAACATCTCATTTTGCTGCAGCGATGCAGAAGTGTACTCCAGGATGTGGCAGTACACGGTGACATCACTGTGGGGCGTGGTTACAGGTGCAGCGGAGCAACCCGAGTCCTAAAAATGATGTTACTGTTCAGCTAAACTGCCCTTTCAAATACATTTGGATCGAAATGCGTTTTCTCCCGAATTACGGTCAGGGTCTTAAAGACGTGGTTAACGTTATGAATTGAAACAAAAAAAAAACCTTTGATCAGATGTCTGTTTCATCTGATTCATGGTTCATGTTAAGATATGCTGGAACAGCCTGCACATTTCATTGTTAGTGTGTCATGCAGTGTGGGACGAGCACTGGTCTGGTCTTGGTCATGACTTACACTCTGGTCTTGACTGAAACTCTGCGTCGAACTATTGCTTCAGTGCTCATCACCTGTTTTAGGGTGGAACGTCTTATGAGTGCTGACATGTAAACATTATGTAACATATGTACTTCTGGTAAGGTCGTACGGCTTTAGACTGTGCACTTGCATTTTCTTTCTTTCTTGTTTTTTTTATATCTCCTGGGCGATATCGTATCATCTCCTCTTACCTTTTAATCTATATCTTAATTGCTGTCCCTAATGTGCTTTGTTGAAGCACTTTGTAGCTGTAAAAGTCATCGTGGCATCCAGAAATCCATCACCATTGTCTCATTTTTCTACCAAAAAAAGAACAACAACCGTATGTCATCAGTGTAATTTAAAGGAAGGTTTAATCACATACAAAATGTAACACTTTGAATGAACTGAATGAACACAAATAATGACTCCAACAAAGACAGGTAACGGATCCAAACAAGGGTTTCCTTTAATGATCATTTGTCATGTAAAGAATATAATACAATGACAGGACTGGAATTCATAAGAGCACACATCAATAAATATGGATAAATACTTGTGGACCACATTCACACAGCCGTCAGACGGACTCAGATGCAGTTGTGTTGTTGTATACGTTCACCGTCGACATGAACACACAGGCAGCTGCAAACTGAAGTGTTGTGCGAGGAGCAGAGCTGAAGAAGTGATATGAAGTATCACCTCGCTTCTGGCTCTCCCGCAGAGAGTGTTTGTGGACCGGAGTGTGTGAGCAGAAAGGAGAAACCGAAAGGAGGGAGATGTGTTTTAGATCCGCTGAGGCTGTATGAACACGGTCCAGAGAGGCTAAGCAACAAAACACACCCAGAGTCGAAATGGATTTTTAAAAAACAGGAAAAGAGAAAAAAAGAACTCAAGAGTATTTACATCCCAAAGGAGAAGAAATGTTTGTCATCGATTTCTGCTCCGAGTTCGTCTCTTTCATCCCTCAATCCTCTCACTGTAACATCTCTCCATTCAACCATCCCAACAGACTGCAGCCCAGAGACATTTGTCTCAACTCGACACCAGCGGCTGCACCTGTGCATTAGACGCTGAACCGTGAAGAAGCTGATGTGGAAGTCCACAGCTGGAAAAAACAAGTCTGATGAGAAGAAGAACAACAACGATGCAAATGATGCAGAAACAGTGGCGAGCTATGACAGTCCGTTTTTCCATGTCGTTGAGAAAACATCCAGCGGTCACCGGGCTGTCGATGCCATCGACAGACTTAATGGGAACCGAAGACAGACGGCCTAATCGTGAAATCAATAGTCTGTCTGTGTGCAACTGAGAACAACAGCCTCGGCCGCTCTTATCGGGTTGTCATTGCTGACGAGCGCTGCGTTTAAATGCACCAGGTTGACAGCCGCCAACTGTCGGTGCATGTAGGGAACAGAGATTCTCTGTTTGCTTTCCGCATGCTCCCACACACAAAACCTGTTCGAGCAGAAGGTTTATAAGTTCATGTTCACCAAACACAATCGTCATCATCCTAAAAGACATAAATCAACAAAGCAAAAATCTGACTTCAGTCTCACTTGTATGCAAGCTGAGCAGCTGAACAGGGTCACGTTAGAATGAAATAAGAGTCAAGATTCAGATTCCTTATTATACTTCACAATACTACGGCTAAGAGCAATGCAGTTTATTTATCTCCATGTCTTACCATCACCTGGTGAAGCAGCTAACTGTCGTGTAGCTTTAGCCTCAGTCTTTTAGCATGATGTCGTGCATATAGCAACCCGTTCTCACTCCCAACCCGTCAAATACCGCCGCTTGGACATCGTCTGATACTGACGCACCGAGGCGACATTTAGCGTCTCTATGAGACTCGCCGGGCTTTTTGAACTAACCCCAATGTGAACCCATCCGCGTCATTATTAGACGGTCAGAGCGACTGATTTAGAACAGGTGCTGATGAGAGGGGAGGTTGGATGAGTCAAGACTTTCACCCAGGAGACCTCTGTTTGTGTCCTGTGTGAAACCATTGACTTATTTTAGCGTCCTTTTGTTACATAACTTTCGTAATTACTTATTTACGGCAGTTACGTAACAAGCGTAGTTACGACCAAACCATAATCTTTTCCAAAACACAAAGTAGCAGAGGTGGCTGAGCCTGAGAATAGACGTCCAACGGTTTGCCTGCTGCTCTCCCGTCGGGCAGCCGAGCCAAGATACAGCTGGCAGCAACCTCTGTTAAGTCGCTCATCCTCACAATTAAGGCTCACAATCATAAGGCTTCATCTTTGTCTCTCTGCCTGCCCTCAGGGCTTCCACTAGAGAAAAAAGACCAACGAGGGGAAGAGAGAGCTGTGTGAGCCGAGGAGATGAAAAGCAGGAGTCAAAAGCAAAGAGAGGCGAGGGTCAATGCGTCTGAAGTTTGCAGAGGAAGAATGTGTGAAAATGTGTTTTTTGCATGAATTCAATCCTAAAACCCGTTTGTGAGAGTGTCGGAGAGAAGCTTAGAGAAAGTTTGGCACCTTCAAAAAAGAGCGCGAGAGAGAGAGAGAGAGCGAGAGAGAGAGAGAGCGAGAGAGAGAGAGCAAAGACATACCGTCCCAGAGGATGGGCCAAAAGCAAGCTGTCCCCTTACAGAGACAACACACACACTGACACACACACACCCCAGGAGGCCATTATTACTTTGGACCGCTCGGAAATCAAACTTCAAAAACAGAGCAGAATTAATATCGGAGGCATATCCAACTCATTATGGATAGACGCACAACTAATATCTGTGTTTTTGTGGTAGCCCTAAAAACCTCTGCAGGAGCGAAGAGGACAGGAAAGAAGAGCTTGTTTGTCTAACCTCAACATAGATGATTTATTAGTATGTAGTTCTTTCTCCTACGCTGGGACGAGGCCGGTGTGAGCGCGCCATCTTGTCTCCTCGTGCTCTCAGTTCTCCTCACTTCATCATTTTTTAGAAAGTTTTCTAACTCCTGTCACACAGCTGTAATTACACTGTCTCTGGACAGCAACTCTGAATTGAATTACTGAACAGAGGGGCTCCTGGTCTGTCTGCCCTTTCATTCAACCACCCGCACTCAATCCATTCTCCCGGACAGATAGAAGAAGAAGAAGGGGCCCGAGATCTAAGATACGACAGGGGTTTGACGGCTTTGACAGCTCTCTGGGTCTCCTGTCCGTCACCCTAAACCTTCCCCTGGCTGCGCGTCAACCTAACCCCTCCCTTGTCATCGCGGCTCCGCCGTTCTGCAGATAATGCAACTTGTTAATTAGGCATGCAGCAGATTAATTAAACTGATAGAGAGGTGTAGGTTCACTTTTCTGCACCGTGCGGAGGACTGTTGTCATTGCCAAGGTGAGAAGAGACAAACAAAGGCAGAGAATTAATGTGCTCAGGACGGATTCTCTTCCCTCATGACTTTAAATAACCTGATTGTACTAGTGTTCTTCTTTTATAAAATACGTGAAAGGCTGCTGAGAAACAAAACAAAAAAGAGCTGGTTAGTTGAGGTCCTTCAATACAGTGACGGTGAAAAGAATGTCCAGTGAGGAAGATAAAGGAGAAGCACTGAAGTGAGAGGTGCTGATGGAAGATAAAGTGAGAAACTAGAGGGGGAAACGAAAAGGATAAAAGTGCTGGAGTCAGCGTTTGAGACATAATCCTAAGAGCTCCAACCTCAAGTGCTGGCTTTAAAACAAACACCGCTTTAACCCGGCAGTAAAAGGGAATGAAAACGAGAGCAAACCGCTCGTTCTGTCCGTCTCAATCCGCTCTTTAAAGCAGGACACGCAGCCGGAGCGAGCACAGGTGTGAGAGTGTGCCCCAGAAATGGGAAGCTTTAATCTCTGCTGGCCTCAGCCACTGTCAACATCCTCAATCATGAACACACAAACACGCTGAGACGAGAGAGCTCCACACCTCTGTAGCTTCAGCCTTACAGCCGTCGTCATACCCCCGCGTACAGCTTTGACTCACGATCCAACAGGTCATCGACATTAGTCGCTGCTAGTGTTCAGGCCCGTTCCCCAACTCATTTTGATTCAGGGCCCGTTCACGTGGTCCACTGTTGTCGATGGAGACGCACGAAAGGCGAGAGATAAATTAGTGCAACTTCATTATCGTCATCGCAGCTACAGGTGGATGAATGGATGAAAGCGGTGCGGCCGTCGTTTTCCACACGTCTTTAGACGCAACATGTGAACGGCCCCTTTGAGGGCTGGTTCTCTCCACAGACTGCTTTACACTTTTATATGTTAACAATGGATCAAATAACAATTTGCTTTGTAAAAGATGATGCTTGTCGTGATACATACCCACAGAAGACCAAACGTCGTAGGTTTAGATTGATGGAGCGTTCAAGCCTCTTTCATCTGATGGTTTTGGTTCTACGGACCCTACCTTTCAATATTTTGATTCACTCTCACCGCTCTCATCAGGCAGTTTGTGATGAACTGAAGTGAATGTACGCTACCTGTCCTTCACTAAAAAGAGACAGAGACAGTATTCTTTGGACATGAATACAGCACATTCGAAATATATGCGTCTCAATTGGGGTTTTATTTACGACCGGCTGTGTGCGTTGTACACAAACCGACTAGTCGACAGTTTTCAAGGCCGGTGAGAACAAAGAAAAGCCCAAATATGTGATCGGAAGGAAAAAAAACAGATTTACTTCTAAATATTCTGAATGACTTGGAGACCAACAGGTTTTAGGATGTGTGCAACCTTTTCATAAAGGGTGGTTGAAGGAATAAATGAAAAAGGGAGGCTGTGTTTGTCGAACATTGTAGCACGGCTGCATGGAAACAGGAATATTAGTTGAATCTTCATATTAATCAGCCATGTAAACAGTTTAGTGTCTTATTGTCTTTTTTGGAATAAGGGCAGAAAGTGGAATTACTTGAGCAGGTAACCATCGTCAGTGTTGTGGGGTACGAAGAGGCCGGAGGTCTGAAAAAGTGAAAAATAATCCAACGTTTAGGTGCGATTACGCTTGTTTTTAAAATGAACAATGTCCTCAGACATGAGCAGCAAAGTTGGTTATTTGTCAGTTAAATCAAGTTGCTCAATGTGGCCACGGCAAATTCATTACTTCCAGCTTTGCTAATGAGAGAGGTCAATCATTATATGATGTATTGTCATTTATTAAAAAGGGCGTGTTTAGCGATTGAACAAAACATCAAAGACACAACCTACAAGAAAAAGGCAAAGCAGACGAGGGATCGCTGCGCTGAGACAAACCCACATCAAAGGATTCCATTAATCCTCCACGATGACAGCGACGGGTGTTTGAGACGCTTTGACTGATGTGTGATGTGATGAAACTGTGACGCCGTGTGTTTTACATTTTTCTCTTGATCTAAAGTAACTGTCTCACAATGACAAGAAGATACAACGCTAACAATCAAATAATTCAATTACAACCGCCTCTGATTCAAAGAGAATCAATCAAATCTGCTTCAGAATAAGTGGCTTAAAGTACAATGTCTTATAAAAAAGCAAACCAAAAGCAGCGGAGTCAAGAAAATAAACACGTGAGTGTTTGTAAAAAATAATGTGTGTTCAACAGACAAAAGGCTCAAGTCAACAACACGGGTGTCTTCCTTGACTCGTCTGATTTCGATGCGCCATTTTCAGTGACGTCGTCCCTATTTGTAGTTTGTACTAAACCACTTCTCTCCGAAGAATGTTCGGCGTGGATCTCTCAAAGTTTTTTTTTTGTGTTTTTTTTAAAAAGAGGTCAGCGTAGCCCCGTGTTTCAGGTCGTCGAGTAGCTGGGTGGAGTTAAGAAGGACGGGCGGGAGACAGACAAGTTAAACAGAGAGAGGAAAGTAAAAAGAGTACAAAGGGACTCGCTGTTGTCCCGGTTGACGCCTGGCAGCACTTCAGCAGGCCTCAGCATTGACGCTATGATACAGGCTGACTCGGGGGGAGCCAGGGGCGGAGCTAAGGGCGGGGCAGTGCAGGGAGGGAGGGGGGGGGGGGGGGGGGGCAGAGAGTTTTGAGCTGTAACATGTGAAGTGGTGTTTCGGGGGAAACGGGGGCGAGAGGAAGGGACGAAGAGGGAGACAGGCAAACCGCAGTCGGCAGCAGAGGAGAAGACGGGAAAGAAAGGGGAGTGGTTATTTTTTTTGTATTTTTCTTTTGGTTCAGACGTGGGCGTGGTTGTGGCCCGGCTCTCCTCCGTGGCGCCCCCCCCCTCTGTGGCCGTGCCTCTTGTGCTTCCTGCGCTCCCTCCTGCCCTTGTGGTGGTGGCGCCGGTAGCGGTGGGCTCGTCGGGCTGATGGAGCAAACAGAGCGGAGCAGAGCGAGAGAGACAGTGAGATACAAAGGGAAAAACCAGAGTGGTCAGAGTGGATCACTGATGTATCGATGAATCACCGACGAGCATCGGGAGCATTCAGACGGCTAGTCGGAGGTTAAACCCAGCTATGAGACGAGGGAGAGGAGATCAGGTCAGAAAGCTGCATGTTCTCTGTAGAAGGTTTAGCATGTTTCCACCACACTGAGGGAGCCTGGGCGCCTTCAGCAGAGCACACTGAGCGAGCCGCCCACTCACTGCCTCAGTGTGAGCTCCTTTCTGGGGCCAAATTAGGCTGCTCTGTCCCTCTCTGGGCTTTGCCAACAAAGACATGTCATCTGCAAAAAAAACAACTCTGTCCAAAGTTCTTTTTATCACTTTCAACAGCGGCTACATTATTTCAGTATTTCATCATTACTGTCACATTGTGAGCGGACTGAAATGAAGTACAAGGCACAGTTTGTTGAATATGTAAATGTATATCAACCCCTTTATATCGCCTTTGAAGTAGAAAGAAATTAGGCTGAAACGTTAAGACATTTATTCAGTCCGTTCAAATCATTTTTAGGGAAAAGTAAAGTTTATTTTAAGGCTCAAAGGAGAAAAGGTGTGTGAAAGTTTGCATAATGAAAGACTGTTATCATTGATTTTAGATGTTAAACTGTGTTAACATAAGAGGCGGCTTCAAAGAGGAATGAAAGATTTCGATGTCATAACTTCTAATAGCGTTCACTGCTGCAGAGCTCCAAGAGCGACCCATGGTGTAATATCACATGTTTTAAGGTGGAATATCACATGTGTTAAGGTGGAATATCACATGTTTTTCAGACGTTACTCTCTTCCACAAGCTCGGGGCCAGAAAGGGTCCCACGGAGGAGGTGGGCCTGAGCCTGGAGCTCTGCAGCGAGACCCTTCTCACGATTTCACCCTCTACGGGAATCATTATGATAATATTTGCTGCACTTGCAACTGTTTATTATTTATACACTAAAGCTCATGTATGAAACAGAGTCGAAAGGTCGTATTTCACTTTGGTTTTAAGCTTTTAGTATAAATCCTTTGTATCTAATAATTGGTCAACAAAAAAATTGTTTTGAAAAGACTGAAAAGAAGACCTCCACCTCAAGCATGAAGCACTTCAAAGGAGACCGTGCCACTTCTTAGTAAGCCCAGGAGATTTCATTCAGTCTGCAACCACAGTAATCTTTTTGCTTGCAATTATTAATAATGAGAGCGGGGATGGCGAGGCTGAATGCACGCGGTGACAGCGGCTCCCGGGGGCAGATAATGCAGGAGGTTCGTGTTAGAGACCTACAGTGGTGTGCATGCTAAAAATAACAAAATGGAAATGTGAAAATGACCCAACAGACGGAAATACTGCTCTAAGTCTTGACGTCTGGCGCCCCGCTGCGTGCAAACCCTGTCGTGTAAAACTTACATTTTATGCAGATGATTTTGGGCCGGTCCCACTTGCCGTTGGCGCGACACTTAGCAGTGGGCACGTGGCGCTGCAGGAAGCCGTCAGCGCACTGGTAGCGAGCTATGGAGTGGATGTCATAGTGGGAGCGCTTCCGACCAATCAGGAAAGCATTGTCCACGGTGGGCGGGGCTCCGCAAAGCACTGTAGAGGGAAGGAAAGACAGCACAACACAGAATATCTGTTATCTAATAATAATGACGTTTACCTGGGCTCGCCTTGTCAGTATGCGTGACTAAAACATTTCAATGTCCCGAATGGCTTCTGCTTTCAGCGTGTATTCAGACTTCTGATTGTAAGGCACACACATCTCTTAGGAAACCACTCACAGCACAAACATCAAAATGTGGATCTCGTGTCCGCAGGACAGCGTGTCTGTCCAAGTCTGTGAGCGAGTGGGCGGCTGTCAGAGTAACACAGCGTCTCAGAAAGAAGTAGAATCAGAAAAATGTTTTCCCAAGCTGACGCGGAGCGAGGATTGACACTCCTTGTCGGAGACTGACAGGACGGAGAAGCCTCGGGGACGCACGCCAACAACTCCACCGATGTTTGAACTCTCCTGTCAGACGGAGCCAGGCCCTCCGGGGGAGGCAGCGGGTGAATGTGGGAGACCCTCCTTTAACTTTATGTGCACTAAAATCATGGGCAAGTTTTCAGTTTCTTAGTCACCGCTTTGAATTGCTGTTTCATCCATGATAATAGTTGATTTAAAGACGAGTTAGGTGGACAATGTAGCTGTTATTAGTCGTGACAGTGCACGGATGCTTCACCATTTATCAAATGGTGTCAGAGCTGGAAGAAGCTCTATAGTTCAATGCACTGCTGAGATTCTAACTGAAAGTTAGGCTTGTAACACTGAGGGTTATAACTTTTTCTGTCATCGTTATCACTAAAACCTCTTTGTGCACCTCTGAATTTTTGTAATTTGGCGTGACTTTCACAAATAGTTCCCTGATTAAAGCACTATTCACATGTCTCGGGATTATACAAAGAAGGCCTATTCGTTTTTAGATGCTTTAGAAACAGGAGGTGTTTGAGTAAATATTTTGCAGCCAAATCAAATAGCTTTACAGGTTATTCAACCTTTGTGTCTTTATAATGCATGCACTACTTGACTCCTTCCTTTAAAGGGCTCGTACGAAGGCCATAAAGTAGTCCATGAATACGAGGTACGAGTTTACAGATAATTACAAACCCTCCTCCGCATTGTGGAGGAGGGTTTATGGCTTCTTGCCGGTTACACTCATTGTCTTTTTGATTCTTCACAGTTCATTATGCCAGACGCCCTCTGGCGTTTTAGTGAATGATGCAACGATAAACGCCTCTGTGCACCCTCGGAGCTCGCGTGCCATGTGTGAGTGTAAACAAAGCTTAAGAGCTGGCTGGTAGTCTGAAGGCTTAAAGGTTGTGGAAATGTGTTTGAGTCGGAATATTTGTGTCGCACGTTGAACTGATACCAGAAACGTATCGCGATACCATTAAAAACGGTACGATACCACATTTTATTAGCACCGGTACATGTTCTGTCATTTATTATTCAATTCCTTTTCCTGACATTTCAGATTTTTGCCGTGGTATCGTTCCAGTTTTGAGATATTTAGGAACAATATCGCAACAGCGACATCACTAACTTCCATGATGCCCCCGATCTAAGGCACCAGAAACGCCACAGATTCCACCCGTGAATGTGATTTACACACTTCAGTGCTGAGAGCGGTCTAGTGGACTTAATCAGCAATCAGAAAATGTTTACAAACCCTGTTAATTCCCTTGTCCTTCTGCTAATACCTCTTAAAGTCTTAATAAGGGAAAAGCAATGCCATTAACTCTGATGAAAGGTTTAATGCCACATTTACAGTTTAATGTGTTGTGGAAGGAAAGGGGGCAAAAAGCACTTTCCTCCTCACTTGAGACGATCACACACTGGACGACACAAATGGCTAAGAGGTGGTTGTTGTTTTTTCTCGCAGTGCAAAGTCAGAACGTATCGAAGTAGGGATAAAAGAAAATGTCACTGAACTCAGGAAAAGCAAAAGGAGCCGGGGTTTTATGTGAGAAGCTTTAAGTCAGAAAAGGTATTTTGTAGAATGAAGCCTGAAGGACGTACAGGCTGCTGCTGCTGAGAGGGGAACCAGGTTTCTTTTTTTTAAAAAGCCATAAAAATCTTTTAAGCAGCAACTCAACCTTTGAAATAAAAGTGCGTTTAGTAAACCTGACTTTTTAAGACTAAACATTCAGCCGCTCCTGACATCCCTGTGTGTCTGAGAGCGCATGAGTCACTCTCAGACAATAACTATGCTGAAATTATTAGATCGGCTTATAATATAATATAATATCTACACTCTTCTCTGCTGTGACCGGCTTTGTGTGTTAAGACAGATTTAGAAAAGTTCTCAAGACGGTGGCTATTTTCAAAGCTTCAATAATCAATATTTGTGTCTGTTGAATCACAGTGCTGGAGAGAGTGGGAGTAAGGTTAACTCTGTGTTTGCAAAGCTGAGAGAGTAACACACACGCACACACACACACACACACACACACACACACACTACTTGACGTTCACAGTCGTCAGATCACTGTACAAGACGTTGCTGTCTTGTAATCAGGAGTCGTTGTGGATTTCACGCTACACGGCTGACCGACGCCAGTGCGTCACACACTACAAGATCCCCGATGAGTCTCCAAACTACGTGAGAAGTGACACAGTAAATACCACAGCTCGGTGTAGAGCGGGTCGTCCTTCAATTTAGAAGATCAGCGGTTCGATCCCCGGCTGTTGACGTGTCCTTCGTCAAGACACTTAACTGCAAATTGCTCCCGATTGCTGTGTATATGGTGCATGTTTGGGTATGAATGGTGAGTTTTGATGGGCAGGTGGAACCTTGCATGGTGGCCCCTGCCATCACTGTATGAATGGGTATGAATGGGTGAATGATGACATGTAGTGTAAAAGTGCTCTGAGTGGTCGGAGGACTAGAAAAGCACCATTTGTTGATCGTTCCACATGTCTCTACTTGTTTCCTCCAGGTGCAACAACGACTCTGGTATGTTTTGCAAATGCAACACATACGGTAACGTTCCTGCTGTTAGAGGCGACCCCTCAACTCCTGTCTTGCGCTCTCATTGGCTGCAGCTCGCCACCAGACTCCCACACAGGTCCAGGTATATGTAGCCTGCTAAGATATCTCGGCTGTGTCTCCGACGCATCGGCGAGTCTCTCCAGCTTCATGAACAGGTCACATGAGCGCTGATTTGTGAGCGCTCTGATATGCGGCTTTTGTCCGGTAGCATGGCGAGTGGGAAATCAAGGCTAAAGCTGTGAAGAACTCGAAATTAGGATCATAACTAGGACGTTTAAAAAAAGGGAAGGAATGTAGTTGAAGAGGTGGAAAAGAAAGGAGATGGAGACTGAAGAGAAAGAGAAAAGAAGACAGGAAGCTGCTGAAGAGGAGAGGTGATATGTATCCTTATTCAGAATCTAGAACAAAGAATGTACAATAATGTAAAGCTTAGAGATGGCAATTTGCAGCAGCTGATTTAAGGTATTTAAGTTCAGCCGGCATTAAAAGGAAGTTACTCCTGCTTGCAGGTGTGTGTGTGTGTGTGTGTGTGTGTGTACTTGAAAGCAGCATGTTTCTAGAGGTAGTGTCTGTCGCTGCGTGGCAGGAGGTAGTCAGTGTGAGTTAGCGGCACGGGGAGAGCTGCAGACAGTTAGATGCTGGTTCCTCTCAGCACTCCTCCATGGCCTCAAAGCATCCGCACTCCTACTGACAACACTGTTAGAATGAACCAGAGACACATCAAAGTGTGTGTGTGTGTGTGTGCATTCGTACTGAAACACCACTGGAGCGAGTCTCACATGGAAACATGAACAATACCAGAGTCAATACCAGAGTTCTGCCAAGATTGCAGCAATTATTAAAATAATAGTAAGACGTTTTGTGAAATAGCCCTTTTCTGCATTAGATGAGACTCATGCCTGTGTCAACTATGGAGCTGCAGCTAGGACACGTTAGCTTAGCTTAGCATAAAGACTGGGAACAGGGAAAAGATCCTGATAGAAAAACCACAATTTCAGCCTTCAGAATAAATCCGGCAGTAGGATTGAGAAAAGGTTATCTGCTCGTCTAGCACCTCTGAATAGCAACCCAAGGCTCCAGGACGTCACTACTCCTGTTAGTTGTTCGCCAAGAAAGGTCACTCTTGTTTTTAAACGGAATGAACCGACAAGATAAAGCTTTTATATTCTTGAGCTGTAGAGATTTTTGAATCCAGCAGTTTCCCTCTGCTTTCAATCTTAACGCTAAGCTTTAACGCACTCATAAGAGTGGTATTAATAATCGCCAACATGTCCTCATACCTAAAGGACAGAATAGGGAATTTACCAAAACGACACACATGACCGTTCTATTTAACACAGTTTTAAACACGTGGTAAACAGAACTTCTTGGTTAGGTTCATATCTTAATGTTAGCTTTTTAACGTGTAAGTATCATAAATGTTCGTTTGCCACAGATCTTATTTTCTGCAATAATTTCCCCCAAAAAAATCTAAATCCAATGTTAACTTCGTGGTTGCAGATTTATGTGAGCCGGTGAGCAGTAGTGCGCTCAGAGAGCAGCTCCTCGGAGGTCTGGTGGGTCGTGTCCCTGCACACATCTCCCTGTGGAGCGTGTTACAATCTGGAGCAGCCATGTCTACAAAATGACAAGACAGGGTCCCTGTGGGGGAGTGTGAGGCCGCTCAGGTGGGGTCGGTGAAGCGGACCTTTATCTCTTCTTTGTGACTGCAAGGATTCATCTGCAGCACTAAATATAAATCAATTGGGTAATTCATATAGAAATTTAACAAAAATAACTTTTCCCGTCACTTTCAAAATACATTTGACAGTTTAATGCCACACAATGTGCCTCCTACAATGATTACATTACACACCAACGGACTAATCAACTGCTAAAGGCACTGACGACAGCCTATCATCTCCCACAGCACTCGGAGAGTATGTCACGCAAAATTAGATTTCCTGTCTCTGTACATAATAACCCATCAAAATGAATGGAACAATTTCTTAATACTTGCATGTCCTGTTGCGGGTAAATTCCCTCTCGTCCTCGCATGATGTTCATTTGGTACATTATGATCCATTTAGAGGCAAATAGATGATAAAGCAGGGTATGCTTTAGGGCGGGGCTACCTTGTGATTGGCAGGTCACTACCAGAGCCGTATAAGACGTCGATACAGTTCTCCTCTCCAGTCCAAATATGGTCACTGGTTGCAAAAAACCACAATGGCGACGGCCAAAACGCTGATCTTGAAGCTTCAAAACCGCAGCGCAAAAAACCAAAGGGTGACGTCATGACTACGTCCACTTCTTATATACAGTCTGTGAGTTTCACAAGGTTCAACACACGTGTGATTAATGACTAGAGGCTTGTGTGAGTGGGTTGTACAAACAAAATGTGTGATGAGTCCCGCTCTTCTTCCCCACATATCTGACCGTCGTGTCATCAGATGACAGTCTCCCCTCTCGTCAGTTATTTGACAAAAATATCATCACCACCTGCATCACACATCACCCACGACCGGCCCCAGGGCGACTGATTGAGGTGTCCGATAGGCTCACATGGTGCTGTTATTGTCTAATCAAGACTAAAGAGATCAGTTGAGCTGTGGGCTTTAGAAGTCTGGATGGAGAGTACTGACAGACTCCACTGATAAGACAAGACATTACATGGGGTTACTTAGAGTGAAAGAAGAGGCTGACGGGGAGGCGGCGGGGAAAAGATGAGAAGAAATGGTGATTGTAGCCGACTGATTAAGGTCAGAGGTGGGCTGGATGCTGGGGACTTGTGACAGTGTGAATCGGAAGTGGTGCAACTTCTTGCTTGTGAGGGAAATACCGTTCCTTTGGTACGGGAATAGAAATGGAGAAGTGCTCGTTGCCGGAGGCTTTAGAAGTACGCTCTCTACGCTTGTGGCTTCTGACGACAAAAGCATCTGTTGAAGCACACATCATTTGTTCAACATAACATGAGGCCCATCAGTAAGGCCTGTGAGGCTTTTATGTTAAAGCTCAGTGACAAAGAGGGACGAAGAGGGAAACTATTTGATCAGTTCTACATACGTTTAAACACCTCCATAGACTTAGAGGTTAAGATGACAACCATGAACCCAAATGTCATAAACCTACCCAGTAAAGGTTTATTTTATTAGCTGACTAATACCCTCGTCTACCGTCAACATCCATGTCCAGATCAAGATGGGATTATTTGAATAATCCCACATTTATCAAAGTCAGAACTGCTTTAAAGAGTTTGGAGTAAACTAGAAATACTGCCTCGTGGTTGTGTGCCTCCGCCAACCAGTCAAGTTGTAGTTTAAAATCTCATCCCTTCATTATTTTATCCTTATACATTTGTGCAAAGAAAATCCCTCAAAGCGTTCCTGAGATATCACGAGGATGGGAGGGGCGTCACGGGGACCTTTGACTACCTCCTCGAGTCCAAACGGACGTTTGTCCCAAATTTGAAGAGATTGCCTCCAGGCGTTCCTAAGATATCGTGTTTACGAAAATGGGACATGAACACATTCTGCTTCTGAAAGTGAAACTTTGCACAAACTTTACAGCACAGCAGCTCACAAGTGATCACGTGATTGATGATGTTAACATATCATTCACAAGGATCAATGATGTTTTGTACATTCACTACAAAACATATCCCAAAAGGTGTGTGCTCACCTCTGCTGCTGTGCTGCAGTCATCTGAGGTCTGTGATTTATAGCTTTTCTTTAAAAGCTTGAGAGTAGAAGTGAAGGATTTTAACGTCTGCACGCCCACAGCTAAAGCTTGTTCCATCCAAAGCTCGGGGGAAAGCTTTGGGGATGCAGCCACCGTCGGCGTCTTTGTGTCCCAGTATTTCTTTAAACCTGCCAGCTAAACTCCACCTATGGCACTAATGCGGCTGTCTTTCTCGCCACCGGTCGTAAGTCCGACCTGTATGCAAATCTGTGGCAAAAATAAGCTCCTAATGGGCTCTCAGAGGAGCACGTGGCGGCCTGACTCCGGCTCTGAGAAGGGGCAGCAGCAACAGGGGACGTGAAAGCGGAGGTGGCGGCGCATAAAAGGAACTTAACCAACCAACAAGTTTGCTCACCTCGTTTTGCTGAGTTGAAGTTTCCCGAACATAAAGCACAAAAGTACCTTGTGCCCCCAAGACGTGCTTAACGTAACTAAAACAGAACATTAGGCACGGAGGACACGGAGCCGTGATACGAGAGAAGTGCACCGAGAAACTTCATTAAAGTCGTGCTGGAGGACGACGAGAGACAGAAGAAGAGCAGAGAAGAGTGATGAGTGTGAACCTGAAGTACGAGGACTGATTGAAGAGGCTCCAATGTGTGTGAAATGTTAAGTATGACATAGCCAGGGATGCTCATGGAGGCACATGTGCTGTCAGAAAGAGGCTGCAACACTTGTGAGCTTGTGAGTAAAACACTTATAAGAACATTTTGTTCGTCTTTTCTCACTTTGGATTCTCCTCATAGGATTTCAGATTAAAGAACTGACAGCTGAGCGAGGTGGTTTCTCCTCTGTCCGATTCCTCATCGTCTCACTTCTTTAAATCCAGTGTTACCTCACAGCCTCTTCCTCTTTTTCAGTGTTGCTATTTTTCATCCGGCTGCTCTCTGTCTCCTCACCTCTCCGTCAGTCATTTTAAATCACCTGTAGAAGTCACTCATTGCCACTCTCTCCTCTCCTCTCCCCCTCTCCTCTCCTCTCCTCTCTCCTCTCCTCTCTCCTCTCTCCTCTCCTCTCCCCCTCTCCTCTCCTCTCTCCTCTCCCCTCTCCTCTCCTCTCCCCCTCTCCTCTCCTCTCCCCTCTCCTCTCCCCGCTCCTCTCCCCTCTCCTCTCCTCTCCCCCTCTCCTCTCCTCTC